GTGGGATTGACCGTCATATTATAATGCCCCCACGGCTGAAAGGGCGAGCATATTTGGTGTGAAGAAAAAAAACACAAAAACTTTAATATATAGTGTAATTTCTAGAAAGTGAAAAAAAAACTTGTTTTCTTGGATTTTTACATGAGAAAAGCAATAAATTTATTTACATGTTTAAAAATATATAAATTCGATAGGTTGAACTTTAATAAAGTGCTCTTATCAATATACGTAGTGGGCTTGTTAGACGTACGATTCGTTTTTTGTTTGTTTTTAATTAAGTCATGTAATTCACTCAAGGAAACATTTCACGTGCCGCTCGACTAAGTATTCGATTTATGATTGTACTCAAAGTAATTACGCTAGACGTTGTGGACTATGTAGAAATGTCATGAGTAATAAAACACTGATTCTAGTAGGCCAATCTTTGATTCAAAAGGCAAAAAACGATAAATTATAAAATGTAAGAGGTTAAAATACTAAAGGTAATTTAATAATGCAAATGAGTTAAAATAAAGACAATCAATGAAGCAAGAGGTTAAAATAAAGGTATTTAATAAAGCAAGAGGTTAAAATAAGGTAATTAATAACGTAAGGGGTTAAAATGCCATAAGTAAAAATGCGATATTCAAGAACTTACCATTACTATCTTTAATGTGGAAAGTTTGTAGTATTTATTTATTGATTTTCGCACAAATCTTCTTTAGGACTAGCGATAGCCGTCTCTAATTTCGAAACGCTAGAGATCTTGTGAACACCGCCATCTCTTGGGCTACTCTAATTGAATGGTGGGATTTTTTTTCCCCCTGATTAAAGATAATTTACTTATTACATTAAGTTTTAATTATTGTAATGATTATGACTTTATCGTAACTTTAGATTCAACGGTAAGCGCGGGTTAGCCCTGTGGTAAAACTATGGATTTTGAAGCTGTCGAGCCAGGTTTGGATCCATGCGATACCACAAGACACACCCACCCCCACACACATACACATTTTAAGCTGTAGGTACGTTATAATAGTGACAGTCAATCTCTTAACGTGGATGGTAGGTCGCTGCTGATTTGTTATCTTCTTTCTTGTCAGTAGTTCAAAATTAGGTTCAGTGGCAAATAGCTTCAGTACCTTTGTCATAAACACAAATAGAAACTATTAACAGCAACCAACATATTACACTTTACACGCCCATTTTTATGCTATCTTATTCTTACTTCTAATGATGTTTCGGTTACTCAACATACAGTTTACCACACTTACAAGGTATTTCATGAATACACAATTTGTCCGAATTCTCTACTTTAACCTTTTCTCTGCATGGTTTTTCATACAATTAATTCTTAAATTTTACTTTCACCATATCTTTAAGGAAGTTGGGAGACTTTATAAACACATGTATGACCAGTTTTGTCTTGTTTTTTGTGCCACAAACAGTCAATGATAAGTCTGCAGAATTACAATGCTACGATAAATATAAATGCATTCAGTGGCATTTTGGTGTACCAGCATCTTCTTCTTGTAGCGTGTGCTATTACTTCCCAAAACATTTTTATTTCACATGATTATCTAAAAAGTTAAGTTATTGTACTTAAGTTCAGAATCATCCACCAAAAAAAAAAAAGAACCCGACATGGCCAGGTGGTTAGAGGCGCTCGACTCCCCGTCCCACAAAACATGCCCACCCTTTCAGCCGTGAGGGCGTTATAAGTGACGATCAATCCCACTATTCGTTGGTAAAAGAATAGCCCAAGAGTTGGCGGTGGGTGGTGATGACTAGCTGCTTTTCACTCCCTAAATTAGGGACGGCTAGCGCAGATAGCGCTCGTGTAGCTTTGCGCGAAATTCATAACAAACCAAAAATATATTCTTATACTAACTACCTTGAGATATTTCTGATTATAAAATGAAACATAAAAATTCCTCGTTTAAATCTAGGTCCTGCTTTAGCGAGGTACACAAATTTCATAGCGGCAAAATCAATTTAAAAAATATATTAATTTTATTTTCAATAGAGTCGACTATCTTGCGATCGCTTGTCTTAATGACCTACGTTAATCCATTTAAACATAAACTACAATACTAAATTCAAGAAATAACTCTCAAAGAAGTACTTCGCGCCTCTGCAGTTAAAAAAAGACGAGTTTGTTTGTTTGTAGTTAAGCGCAAAGCCACAAGATGGGTTATCCATGCTGTGCCAACCACGGGTATTGAAACTCTGTTTTTACTTAAGTCCGCAGACATGTCACTGGGATTATATTTTTATTCTCATTTACAAAACTGCAGGGTGGCAAGCTAGAAAACACGTGTACCAAACAGACTTGTCTAGAAAGCTTCAAACGTTCGAAAAGTAAACGAAACGGCAAATATTAACCTAACCTGTATCGTGCTGAATTGTTTGTGATTTAGTTATTAGTCCCCAGGTGGCACAGAGAAAAGTCTGAGGGCTTTTCACGATAAAAATTGGATTTCGATACACGCGTTGTACAGCGCACAGATAACCTATTGTGTAGCTTTGTGCTTACGAACAAACAAAATCTGGTAATTAATTTTAAAAGAAGGTAAACAAGTAATGATATATCACAATGTTTATTTTGATACTTTAAAAAATAGACGAAAATGTTAAAACTGGGTAGTTTTTTTTCGTTTTTTTTTCACAGTCTCTAGTAAGTAACTAATAATCGGCATGGTTTAATAATAAACAGCAATTTATTTCCCCCGATACATGGAGAAACAGACAACCAATTAGAACTGGGAATGGAAAGAGAGAAGAACGTGTTCATCTTTTTCTTTTTTTTGAACCGACAACTGGGGACACTTTATTTGATATGTCAACCGTGATCATTGGATTCTAAATTTAGACAGCTACACGCAAGTCTCTATTCCCAATTCAAACGGGCACTTCGCTACCGGGTCAAAAGTTTGAGTTATGTGACCCCAGTACCCCCCCCCCCTCCTCTCCACACCCACCCACCCACACCCCTCCGGTTTCTCCGCCTATAGAAAGATCGAAAACAGCATATATCATATATGACATTTTCCCGTCATTTATATTCTATTTGTTAAAACAAAACTTAATGAAACTGTTTAAGATTTAAAAACTGGTTCTCATATATATATATATATTTTTTAACGTGGTATCTTTCCTGTCAAAATATTTTTTTATTAACTTTGGGTATTACTTCTAACACCCAAATTTCACGTTATAGTTTGCAAACTTCACATTCTCACTTGACCTAATGAAACAAAGTTAACGTTTTACACATTTTCATCGTATCAAGCGCTTTCTTTGGTAACCAGATGGCAGGAGTGTCCAATAATACGAGGTTTTCTGAAGTAAACCAACAACTTGATAATCTAGAACAATATTGGTAGACGTTTCCATTAATGGATACTAAGACTAAAAAGAGCCTCGAGTTCAATATGATTACGCGAACAAGGCACGTTTTGCATAATTTACATGTGATCGTATAATCAATGGTTGATTGCTCGATACAAATCTAAATTTCTAGATTTATTAAATTCGATCTTAGGGTCAATCTTACCAGATTTAAAGCTTTTGACTTATTTATTACTTAGTTTGTTTCTTGCTGCTTGAAAAATGGTGCCTGCTGGACTGGCAGCCTAATTAATAGTCACAAGACTTCTAAAGTCTAAAAGTGTTTGTTCTTATTTCATAACAAAAATAAAAATGTTAAATTGCTGTTGATGGTGGAATTGCATTAAGTTTTCTGTTGTTGTTGTTAAACACGAAGCTGCACAACGGATATCTGCGCATAGTGGTCTCTAATTTTGAATCCTTAGACTATAGAGGAAAAGCAGCTAGTCAAGAGAAACACTACCAACTCTTGAACTACTTTTGTCTGACCGAATAGTGGGATATAACTAGCAATTTTGTAGCTTAACCATTGTCCTAAAGTACGAAGTGCGTTTTTGCAATAACGGGACACGAACAACGGATTCACAACTTGGACACGCTAGACACTAAGCCACGATTGATTCTGTCATCTATATACATTTAGCTTTGTGAATCTACTTTTGGACATTATGTCTGTAATCTTCGTTTGTTACGTTGAGATGACCGCGTATTTTACTCCAATAGTTATTGTTTTTACTTTAACTTTCTGCGTTATACACACACATATATATATATATTCTAGTATAAAAGCCAGTCAAAAATGACGGGAAACCATTGCTGAATGATTAACGAAAATTATAGAACTTAACTAAAACGAATACACCTACTCTTCACTTATTTCATCACTATCGAAGTAATTCTTTAATCACCACATTTTTAGTAAAACCTATATGCAGAAAAATGAAATGTTATCGTGAACAAAAGTACGTGTGTACTCTGAAACAGCACTCTTGAGCTTTTTCACTGTATTCTAGGTCAGGAAGTAAAAAATAGTGCGGACATTCCGACACGAATATTCAACTCTTTCGAATGTACAAAGGATAAAAGATATTTGGTAGTAATAAACGTTTATTTTTATGTTTTAAGGCCAAGTAGGTAATATATGTGTTAAAATACCAAAAGAATATTTATTGATTAGCATTTATTTACCACTTAAACTTTTTAAACATTGACTCCATAACGTTAGTATTAGTAGGCCTATTTGTAGTCTAATTTAAGCATTAGACCTAATACATAAACGTAACGTAAGGCTTATCTAAGACGCTACTTGGTAAATTTTATTTTGCTTTTAGCTACAACTCAATGTTATAAACTTTTGAATTAAACTATTTTGCTGTTATATCACCGAAGTTATCAAAAAATTAAGAATAAAATAACAAACCTTTCTAACAAATCAACATGAATATTGAGCATTCAACATAAACACCATAGTTGGCTTAAGAACAATCATGTGATAGTTTTGTTGCTAAGCGACGATGTACATTGTTGACCATTACCAAAAAAGGAATGTTAAAGCGTTCTCGACAGAGTGACAAAGGGAATAAGCCTTTTATAGTTAGTGATGAATTAGAGTATATACATTTGTTTACTACTGTTAAGCGCAAAGTTGCATAATGGGATATCTGTGCTGTGCTCACTGCTAGAATTAAGCCCTAAATTTTAGAGCCATAAGCTCTCAAGCTTCCCGCTAAACCATCGTTATATATACTTTACCTGTTAGGTGGCTAATGCTGGATATATGGTTTCGCTTCCCAGTCATTTCTCCTAATAAGGAGGCTTAGGCCCGAAGACAACGATTCTAATAATCAGCAGATTGATTTGATTTCGATCTAAATGAATATCAAAATTTCCGATAAATCTGCTAACTTGCGCATGGAATTAGGTGAACAACATAAGTATAAGTTCACCACGTGCCAGCACCCCTGCATATTTTAAAAAAAATCACTGTGAAAGAGAAGAGGAAATGTGTGTGACGTATGTGTAACAAAAGTTCCACAAATCCAACACAGTGACTTATAGCGAGTGACTTGCCTATAGCTTTTATTCGGAGTGATTTATGGTAACTTATCTTTAGTTAATATGAACTTTCATTTGTGTGTGTGTGTGTGTGTGTGTGTATGGAAACTAAACTACGTAATTTATATTTATAGAAATAAATAATCATATTGTTACGTATCTGCTCGTTTGTTAATTTCCGGTATAAATACTTTCCGAGGAACTTCAGCGATACAAGTCCTTTCTTAATT